ATGTCCCATTCAATCCCATCAAAAACTGAAGTAGTCTCTGATTTTGCATGTGATCTACATATAATTTGGACATGGCACAGTCACATGAAGGCAGTTGGATGATGGAGGAGTACTCATCCCATAGCAATTTCAACCGAGTGAAATATGCTAATATTGATAAACTTCCTTGTGTAAGAGTAACAATATCTCTGTGCAATTGAAAAATTCTCGAACCATTGACTTTATCAAAACATTCTTATAAATCCTTCCAGACCAAATAAGCATTAGATGCATACACAATACCACTTAACAGCTCTTTAGTTATAGAATCATGATCCAAGACAACACAATGGCATTACACCTATCCCACTGCTGATGCATGCTTGCTGGAACTGAAGTTTTGGTGCATGATCCATCTATAAATCCTAGCTTGTTTTTTGCTAATAAGGCTATTCTCATTGACCTACTCCAAAAAGAGTAATTATCCACACCAATTAATTGAAAAGATACAAGGATTGTACCTGGTGTATCAGATGGATGCAGGAATAGGGGATGATTGAAGCCAATTGCATCCACATTTTGAGTATCTTGTCCTTCTGATGAATGTGCATTCTGACCTCCAGTTGAGCTATTTTCTACAGTTGCCATGAGTTTGATGTTAAGCGAAATTATCAAGAATCAAAGATTGGAATTTGATTAAGTTAATGAATCAGCAAGAAAACAACAACCTCCAGAAACGTGAATCGAATGAATCAAGACTGATTCCTAATTGATTGAGAAGAAATCAGATTGAATTGAGATGATTCAAAGATTCGAAGAATCAAGTATTCTGGCCCCTTATCTAGGCTCTGATACCATGTTGAGATTTAAGAGGAAATGAAATCTAACAATTGAAAAGAAGAAGAAGAGAATTTCTCATTCATTGTATATCGTGAGTCTGTACATCGCATATATATATACAAGCATTCCTTTCTGTTATTCAAAGAATAACTAACTTACTAATCTAACTAACTCTAACAAACTTCCAACTAATTATGCCAGCTTTGCCTTTTAACAAACTTGAGCTGACTAAGCTGTCACGCATTTATTCCAGCCAACTTGTCCTCCAACAGAAAGAGAGAGAGAAAATAAAAATGAAGGAGAAGAAGAAGCAAAGAAGAAAGAGAAGATGATGGGGAGAAAGAGAGAAAAAATAAAAATGAAGGAGAAGAAGCAGCAGAAGAAGAAAGAGAAGATGACTAGGGGAGAAAGAGAGAAAAAAAGGTGAAGGAGAAGAAGAAGGAAGAAAATTCCTAATTTTATGGTGGTTTGTAGATAAAAGAAACATGGGGAATAAAAAGCATACATATCCTTCCCCGGATGCAAAGTTCACTCCATAAATAAATCGATCATTGTCAAATAATAAATATGTTGGAATCAATGGTAATTTTGCATACTCAGCCACAATAGATAGTTAATTGCAACAGTCATAAAGGAGAGTGACAATAGTTTTAGCTGCAAGGGGTACATGATATTGATAATTAAATAATAACAAATCATACCAATATAAATCTGGAATTAATCGCCCATTAGAACGTCTCCCAGTAGGGTATTTGAACTTTGAAGAAGGTTTCACCAAATGGCTAGAATTTTGACTGATATTCAGCTGTGATGTTGATATAGTTGTTATTTCCAACATCAAATAATGAATCACCAAAGATGAATACTGCAACATGTGTTCTAGGCGGCGGCCAGTGAGCATAGCCTGGAATGATCAGAAGACTTGAGCACATAACAAAGAAAAAGATAGGGATGCTACAGCGGTGGTGGGCCCAAGATTTTTGTCCGGGGGGGCCTCCACGGCTCTGTTATTATTTGTCAAACAATTAGTGAAAACTTTAAAAAATCATCATACCTTAAGTAAAGAAAATAATACAATATCAAGAACTTGAAAGAAAAGAATATAGAAACACAATATTTTCCTACTTGAATAAATCTATAAAAACCAAAATTTTAAGTAAATATTTTGAGTAAACCTGGAGCAAAACCTTCTTTTAATTTTTATTTTATTTTTATTTTTGGTTTCCAAAAATTATAATATAAATTTACATGACTTTGATCGGACCTAGCCTAAGCTAAAGTCAATCAAAATTTAAATCAAGTCAACATTGTATTGACTTATAATATGAATTAATAAAAAAATTGAGAATTTTCTTGGTATAAACATAGATAATAACTCAAATTTCTCTAATAATTTTGAGTTGCTAAATGTTAATGTTTGAAATGTAAGAAAGTTGTAGGTGAAGGGTGAAGAATAATGTCCTTTAAAATATGGTTAAGGTTTTAATTTGAAAAGCAGGAACATTCTTAGACACAAAACACAAAATAAACTCATAAGATCCATGTCTTTTTCCCTCAAATTAGAATAAAAAACCTTTAAAAAACAAGTATGATTCAACCTTATAATAAACTAAATTGAAATAAGCAATACACATACTTAAAACTGGTAAAACAGAAAACAAAGCTAATGGTACACCTTGAGTAGTTAAAGCTTTAACAATTTTAGTCTTCAAAAGTTTTAAGAGTGAATAGCATGCGAAAGAAAAAGAGAGGACGAGAGAGTAAAAAATTTTAAGGATGAAATCATAGAAAGTAAGTGGAGCCGTGGAGAAGAAGAGTTGAGAGAGTTTTAAACTTTTAATATGACGTGGGCTTAGAATATATATATTAATAGCAAGTTTTTTGTGGGTTTGGATATATGCATAATAGTTCTCATTTTCAAAAAATCCGAGGATAAGCTTGCGGATATATATTAGCAGCACTTTTTTGTAGGCCTATATATTAATAATTTTTTTTTTAAATAGGTGGCCTACCCTCAAAGGGGTTGGATTTGCCCTTATGCTACAGTGCCCCATGCATGCATCCACCACCCACCCTTGGTTTCAAGAGTAATTTAAGAGAAATTTGAGATATGGAGAGTTATTTTGAAATTTTTATTTTCATTTCAGATTTAATGCAATGAAAAGTGCTACTTTACTTTCTCACTGTTACATTACGGGTGTGTTTGTTTTATTATTTTGAGTAGTATTTTTGAAATATTATTGTTGAGTTGAGTTGAGTTATTATTACGAGGTATGATTTAAAAATTAACAAAAAACACCCCTAAATTTGTTAATTTAGCTAAACACCCCCAATAATAAATAGTTTATAAATTGACAAAAATACCCCCACCCATCCATAGTTGCTAGATTCTTGCCACCATCGCTAAAATCTGGTGTCATTGTGCACAACTAGCCAGATCTAGCTGGTTATGCGTCGCTAAGACATTTTTTGGCCAGATCCGCGAAAAAGGCCAGATCTGGCCGAAAAAGGCCAGATCTATGACCGGATCTGGTCGTTGACGGCCAGATCTAGCCACATCTAGCCGTCAACGACAGCCAAAGATATGGTCGTCGTTGATGGTCAACATGGCCATATATTAGCCGTCATTGACGGCCAGATCTTTGGTTGTGGATCTGGCCTTTTCCGGCCAGATCCATGGTGGATTTGACCGAAAAATGTCAGATCGGTGCACTGCCTGTCAGATCCAACCGGTAATGCGTCATTACGCCAGATTTCAGCCACTTTCCAACGATGGTTGTCGGAATCTAACAAATGTGAGTGGGTGGGGGTGTTTTTATCAATTTATAAAAAAAAATTGTTAAGGGTGTTTAGTTAAATTAACAAACCTATAGGGGTTTAAAATAGTTGCATATTATAGGATATGATTTTGAGAATACTGAAACAAACGCACATTTTTTTAAGAATAGGAATAGAATATTTTGAAAACAATAAAACAAATACAGCCGTAACATGATTTTTTGTTAATTTAAACGTGGGAATCTTGAATTTATGGAACCTGGGATTTCGCTAAACCTTCAGTGGGTAAACGTTGTTTACTCTTTAGACATCACATGTCCCTTAGTCCTATTGAGTTAATACTCTTACTTGTATAACAAATACCATAAACAAATATAAGTGTAGCAAAACAAAACAATTAAGTCTAACTATTGTAGTATTGTATGCGTAATTGATGTTCTTTAGATTCTAATTAGTGTAATTCAGATAATTCTATATATACATTGAAACTTTTAAATACCAAAATATATTGTTTAAAGAAAAATATTTAATAGCAATAAAACTTAAAAAAAAAAAAAAATCCATGGAAACATATTCTATGATAACAAGATTAATTTGTAAAAAAAATAAAAAAAATCTTTACTATTATAGAGAAGAATTTTATTTTGAATGTAGCGGAAAAAATACTTCACATATTTTCTGACCCCCAAAGTGTTAGATATTTCGATAAACATTGTAAAAAACTAAAAATAGAACTAAAAATGTTATAAAAATAATACATATATATTTTAATTGCAAAAAATATAAAAAATATTTTTTTTAATAACTAAGGAAAATTGCAAAAGGAACTCTTAGTTTGAAAGATAGTATTTAATTGAAAAAAGAAATTATTAATAAAAGATTTTTACGATTATTTTCAAGATTTTCTAAAGGGTATATATAGATTTTAACAAAATTTGAAATTGATAAAATTTATTCTTAAAGTTTGTTTGTTACAATTTATTCAAGTAATGTTTATTTAAAAAAAAATTATTGGAGTAAAGTTTATGAAAATGTAGCTTTTATGAAAAAACTCTTAGATGTTTGATTAATGTATCAAAAATAGCTTTAATATATAAAAACAAATCAAGTTAATTTATAAAATATAATACAAATATTTTAGAAATTTCAACAATTCAAATAAATTCAAAAAGGATTTATTGAATTTCTGAGTTTTTCTTATAAAATATAAAATTGCTTATTTTAAATCATCTATACATGACGTTATTTTTCAAGTGAATTATTTATTTGATTATTCTTATTTTTCAAAAGAAAGTATATATCACGTGATTAATTGGAAATTTTATATAATAAAAGGTTTCATCGTCATAAAACTCACTTTCTCTTAACACTCTTCACACACAAAATTGTGTATCTTTGTTTAGCAAATGGCGGCTTCTATGCAACTAAATGTCAAGCCATTGAAGCCCGCGTTTTATCTTAAATCAGCATCCAAACACTCCCCCAAGCTGCCCCAGAGAGTCCGCTGCTCGGCCGCCGCCGCTTCCACCAGACGCTACAGCATCAGTCTTCTCCCCGGCGATGGCATCGGCCCCGAAGTCATTTCCGTCGCCAAGAACGTCCTCAAGCTTGCTGGCTCCCTCGAAGGTTCCCTCCCTTTCATTTTTCTCAAAAGCTCACCTTTGTCGGTGCTGAATGTTTATATGCTTGCTTCATTAAGGCAAATCAAAGAAAACAATGGAGGAGAAATTGATGTTACAGTAGAAATGTTTAATTTTAGGTTTTGGCTTTAGGGTTTAAACTGGTAAGATTTTGAAACTTATTGGTATTGTGGTATCTTGGAAACTTTATTCTTTGAGGTTGATGAAATCTCTATTAAATTTTGAAAATCGTGATTAAACTTTCCTGAAATTCTTGAAATTTATTAGAAACTTTTTTGAGGGGAGGTTACTGCCTATTTTTCTGACGAGAGAGGTTAGCATGTTATTGGGGGGAAAATTTGAAATAAAATTGAATTGATTTTTTTTTTTTTTTTTTTTTTTTTTTTTTTTTTTTTTATAGTGCATTTTAACTTTACCCCTTTTTTTTCATTTATTCTATTAGGAATTGAATTTCGGTTTCAAGAGATGCCTATGGGAGGATCAGCCTTAGATTTGGTTGGAGTTCCACTACCAGATGAGACTCTATCAGCAGCCAAGCAATCTGATGCCGTTCTTCTTGGAGCAATCGGGGGGTATATGATTTTTTGTTATTTTGTTGTTCTATTAAGTCTCCGTGAATGTTATAAATTAACTCATCAATTTTGTGATTGTTTTCTTCAAGTTATAAATGGGATAATAATCTAAAGCATTTGAAGCCGGAAACTGGGTTGCTTAAACTTCGAGAAGGTCTTAAAGTCTTTGCAAATTTGAGACCGGCAACTGTTTTACCACAGGTGATATTTGTTTAGGTGCAGTTTACTGGAGTTTTCTATTCCTCTTTTCTTTTCTTTTTTTCCTCTTTGGACAAGGATTTGGCATTTGTGTAAAATAAAATCCTGTTTTAGTGATTTGCTTCGTACTTGCATACAAAGAAAATTGACATAAAAAGGTTCTGGCTTATAATATTTTAAAGCAATAACCTCTTCATAGATGCATTTGCAAGCCTACTTTGAATTGTGATTGGCTTTTTGTAATCAGCAGCGTGAAATTGTTATTTTTCCTTAAGCAAGTAACCTTTATAAAAATAAAGAAAGTTAAATTAAAATAATGTGTCTCAATGATTCGATTTGTTGGAGTTTTTAATTTCTTGTATGTTATGTGTTGGTATGATATTAAATTATGGATTCACTAGCGCAACAGTGTGAATATAGTATCATTCATCAGATTGAATGGACACTTTTGTTTGTATCATAAAATAGTATGTTGGGTAACTGTTAAAAATTTTACTTCAAAAATGCTTTTATGTTAAATTATGTGCATATATATATATATATATTTGTGTTTCCATTTTTTATTTTATTCCTATTGTAAATGAGTCTTATTGTATGTTAAACTCTCCTTTAGTTAGTGGACTCTTCAACATTGAAGAAGGAGGTTGCTGAAGGTGTTGACATTATGGTTGTACGGGAGCTGACTGGAGGTCTGCATTTGTTGTAACTACAGTCACATCGATTGGGTCTTCTACTTTTTTCTTTCTCTAAATTATTAGGGTATAATGATATTTTACTGGAATAGGTATTTATTTTGGAAAGCCAAGGGGATTTGGCACCAATGAAAATGGTGATGAGATTGGCTTTAATACAGAGGTTTATGCTGCCTATGAGGTAAGTCTATGATGGAAATTCTCTTGCCAGTAAACTTCCAAAAGCTTTCTATTTAATCTGTAGTCTTGAAGAAAATAAAGATGTGGATTTATGTGTATACTTATCTATATGTAGGGAATTCAAAATGTCAACTCATAGATAGAGGTTATATAATGATTTGTTGTCTCTGTTAGTCCTGATTTGATTCTCTAAGTCGTCCTCATATTTTTTTATAACTTCTGGTCTCTTCATTTATGTTTCTAGAGAAAGATTTTCTTTCTGACTTTGGAAAATAAGAAAAATGTGTTGTGCAACCATTTTCAGAAAATGTTTGCTGAAAATATAAACTTCTGTTTCAATTTCAAACCACAGCAACCAAAAAAAAAAAGGAGGGAAACACTTTTATACTGTTTTCTCCATTTTTCCGGAGTTCATTTCTAAAAACTAGAAAGCACTTTTAAGCTGTTTTTTTAATTAATATTTCTTAGTAATTTTAGTTTGATCTTTATAATTATGAAGAATATTAATAGGGTTTTTCAGTAAATATATACTCGAAACATATGTTTGTCATTTTCAAAAATATCTAGCTACATGCTTTGTTGTTTTAATTTTCAGAATTTTGTTTTCCAAATTTGCTACATACTTTCTTAAAGATTGAATATAAAAATTCAGTTTCTTCTTTTTCCAGTTTCAAATTCATTTGGTCAATACAATGTTATATCTAATGTAATTAAGGAAAAGAAAATTGCATTCTCAGGTGGATCGTATTGCTCGTATTGCATTTGAGACTGCTAGGAAGAGAAGTGGGAAACTATGCTCTGTTGATAAAGCAAATGTCTTAGAGGTATGATCTATAAGCAGAACTTCTCTTTGTGTTTATATTCGTCTTCGCTTTTGGATGTCTGTGTCTTTGGACCTTTGTATAAGTCATCATTACTTTTATATAGATGTTGTATTAGCGTTTTGTTAAAGAATTGGTGAAAGTTGGAAATTTCCTCTGATCATTCAGCCTTCCATTAAAAAAATTAATAAATTAAATAAAAAAAAATAAAAAAAAATTTTTTTTAATAAAAAAAAAAAAAAATAAAAAATAATTAAAAATAAAAATAGAAAAATAAGTTTTCACTTGCTTAATATAGTGCACTATTTCTGTCTGTAATACTTTCAAAGAATTATTGCCGCAAGGGCACATCCTCCGTAGATTTTAGTGATTAAGGTAGTGAACTATTTTTTATATTGGAAGCTGTGGTCTCTATGATCTGTGTACATCCGTTGTCAGTCTCATTCCATGAATCACGAGAGTGCTAAGTGTTGAGAAAAAAAAAGAAGGGGGGTTGGGTTGGGTTGGGGGGGAGGGGGGTGGTGTTGGGGCGCAAAACTATATTTTCTCATATATTGTGTATGGAGATTGGATGGGATTGGAGGCATTCAAGCTGCCACTGAAAAAAAAAGTCTGTAACATGATGTTCATTGTAGTTGTTTCATGAATGAGATGAATGCTTGTACTCCTGATGTAATGGCAAGAAACACAATGTTTGAAGTGTCCTTATACTATATTTGTGTGATTTTTAAAATGGGATAAAGGAAAATAATATTTATTCTTAATTGAAGAAGTTAACTGATAGGAACCCACCCTAACAACTCAAACAATTGGGTTGAGCTATGGGTCTTTCATGGTTTGGGTAGAACTCTCTTTAGAAAACCGGTTTGCCAAGGGAGGGTGCCCAAGCCCTTTATAACCCACATGCCCACTCTTTTTCCTTTCCAATGTAAGATCCTAACACACCTCCACACTTCTGCAGCCAACGTCCACGTCAACCTCTTTACCTCTGTCAGCCTCTTTACTCCTTGGGTGACCACGCGGATCCCCTTTCCCTTAGGCCTCCATACCCTTGCTTGAGGTAGCAGCTCGGGCCCAAGGTCAACCTACCATGGTTCAACCTGCCACGTAGGCAACGTCTATGTGAGCATAAGATCATTCTTTGATACCAATTGATAGAAACCCACCCAAACAACTCAAACAATTAGGTTGGGCCATGAGTCTTTCATGGGCTTGGGTAAAACTCTCTTTGGAAAACCGACTTGTTAAAGGAGGGTGTGCAAGCCCTTTATAACCCACATGCCCAAAATTTTCCTTTCCAATGTGGGATCCTAACATTAACACTGTAAGTTTTCAGAGTCAACATAATGATTAGATAGTACCATTATTAGATATAGGATATTCCTTACATGTTAAATTTATTAGACTACCCATTACATAATCCTCATGTGCATGTGATAATGGATTAAATTAGGTCTTGATAACAAGCTATTGTACTTTGAGTTAATGAACTTTGTGGTCAGATTGGATTTTACTAGAGGGAATTTATATTGCCCTGCATCTTATATTTAGCTAATGGTTAAAATGTTAAGTATGTTATTGTAATCTTTAAAGCATCTTTATTGAATTTTCTAGGCATCGATGTTTTGGAGGAAAAGAGTCATAGAGATAGCCTCGGAGTATCCTGATGTTGAGCTCTCACACATGTATGTTGACAATGCTGCAATGCAACTTGTTCGCAATCCAAAACAGGTTACATTTTTAATGAATTGGCACAGGCTTTCTCTTCACTTTCTGTGAGAAGCGTAGAAGTTTAGATTGGGAGAAAAGTTCAGTTATAGAGCCTTATTAATGAAATGTGGAACCCTTACTGTTTGAAAATGAAATATTGCAGTTTGATACAATTGTGACCAACAACATATTTGGCGACATTTTATCTGATGAAGCTTCAATGATTACTGGAAGTATAGGGATGCTTCCTTCTGCTAGTCTTGGTGAATCGGTATGGCTAATCATTTTATCCTTCTTAAATCAGTGGTTTTAAAAGAATTTATTTTAGTTTCTTTCATTTATGTTTAGAGTAATTTATCTACACATTTTTTGGTTTTCATTTGGCATACGTTGGATTTATTAATTCACTGGCTCAGGGACCTGGACTTTTTGAGCCAATACATGGTTCTGCTCCTGATATTGCTGGACAGGTTGGATTTTCTCCTTTCTGTCAAAATAAAGTCTCCTTTATTTCTCTACTAAAAAGAAATGAACAGTGTGCATTTAATGGGCAACATTATTATTAAATATGCAGGATAAGGCAAACCCATTGGCAACTATACTTAGTGCTGCTATGCTATTGAAGTATGGCTTGGGTGAAGAAAATGCTGCAAAGAGAATTGAGAATGCAGTTTTGCATACCCTAAATAAGGGCTTCCGAACGGGTGATATATACTCAGCTGGAAATGTATGTGTTCATTTTTTCTATGATCCATTACCTTTGTTATAGATCTCTGTTGTGTGATGTTCTTGTATAGCAAATGGTTTAGGACTTTCCCCTTCCATTTTTCTTCTCTTTCGTAGGTCAATGTTAATTTATCTTATGAAGATAATCTGGTTCAAATTCCCATGATTGAAATAGGAGAGTAAAAAGTAAAAGCAGTGATTGCCAATAGAACCTTCTGATCTTGAAATTTTCTGAGTTTGGCATCATATTATGATTAACTAATGTTTCCCATTTGCTTTGTATATCTCCATGTCAAGATGTCATGAATCCAGGGTGTTTGAAATAAATGGGTACACAATTTCTTTTGCTCTACTTTCTCTATGTAGAGCAAAACTGTCCTTAATTTTCATTTCATTTCTCTAGTCCCATGCAATACATGAATCAGTTACAAAATTCTCTTCAACACTACTGCAGTTTTGGTATCCGAAAAATCAGACAGGATATTCCTTTTTAATATTTGCACAGAATGTTATATATTCATGGTTGTTGCCTCAGTTTTTATTGAGAATTTCTTCTTAATGTAAAGCTTCTATTTATTTATTTTTGGAGGATTAATAGATAACACTTGCATTTACAGAAATTAGTAGGATGCAAGGAGATAGGTGAAGAGGTATTGAAATCGGTAGAGACTCCAGTTCCTGCTGCTGTTTGAATTGACACCACAAGGAGTTTCTACCTTCTGTCATTTTTCTGTCGTTTCAGAGGATCTATGGCCTTGAAGGCCGGGGCAACTAGCAGAAAAACACCATATTTTCTGCCTCATAATTTGTCACATCCTTGCGGCAATTAGGATCTCGAGTATTTATTATTTATGTTGAATGTGATTAGGATCTTATTCTTGTAACTTTATTTGTTCATTAGTCTTTTGGTTCCTGGTGTTGTATCTCACTCATCATTCTGAAACCTTATTTAACAGGAGATTGTGTGACATGGAAATGATTGTTTAATTGATGGAGAATAAAGAACTCCTCTTTCGCAGTTTGTTGAAAATTTAGATATAATCTAGAACTCTAAGTGAATTTCATGCCTATGGTCGGAGACACAAAACCCTTTCTTTTTTTCCCCTCTTATGTTACATTTAAAATCTAATGAATCTTCTTAAAATATCTTGTATTTAATAATTTCCAGAAACTGAGAATTATATTTTATTTAAATTCGAGGAACATGCCATAATTGCTGTCTATAATTGAATAGTACTGATGCACAGCCTGGTGCAAAGAAGAGAGAAATGCAGAAAGAAAGTTGTATATTATTGAAAAACTACTACAAACATTTCAACTAATTTATAGTGCAGTAGAGACAAAATCTCATGTTTATAACTTGCCACAGCATTGGCGAAGTAAGCCGGTTTGTCATTCCAAAACTTTGAATGCTAGCCAGGTACCAAAAAAGAACAATTATAAGCTTCTGACTTACCTCCATATAAAGTGCTTGAATTCTATGAAGGAAAACAAGAGTTGCTACAGCACGACTCCTGAACACACTGACAGATTTTCACAAGCTCAGATGGTCGATATCTATGCTTCTTCTACCAATACTAGGAGATTTTAGATTTTCTTAATTGAATAATACTATATGTACATGACATGGCATGTATGAATCACCAGAGCATTCATGAAATGGCTTTTTCTCTAGGTATACGAGATATCCAGCTCCACATAGCATAATCCTCAGGCCATGAGTAATTGCATAAATGTGGTTGACTCGAACACAAGACCCTTTAAATATAATTACTCTCAGTGGTTAAAAAATTTGTCATATAACCACAAGAGGAGACGTGAAATGGCTTTACTACAAATAAAAAGGAGACTACATCCCACAATTTGAATCAGTCATAAGCAACAAAGTAAGCCAAGTGTTTCCATGACTAGCAAAGCTAGAAGCAAGGTAGATTTGGCTTGTAGACTAGAAGAGCAAAGGAAATAAATTAATAAACAAATGGATATTTTCTTGATTTATGCTAAATATATATTAATCATTGATGCGGATTTACATGATGCATGTAAGCTTATTAAACAAAAGGCAGGCTACGTCTAGTTTTATATTTTTATGTAATACAAGAGGTGTTCATATGTGAATAGGAAAATACTTGTCAAAAGTTGTTGGAAACTTGGATTTTTTTACTGATGGCCGATCGAAGGGACCAGGGAGCCATAGCTTTTACTTGTCCTGAAAACAAATAACAAAACTAACATGGAAGTTGAGGGGGCAGGACAACCGTTAACCCCGCCATTGTTGACTAGTTTTGCTTTGATACTACAGAAGTTTTTGCCCTTTGTAAGTAAGAAAGATAATATGGCTCTTTCTTTGTTACGATCTATAAAAGCTAAATAGAACGCATGGCAATATCACAACATAAAACACAACAAGCTTTCTGAGTTCTTAATAATCTCTGTTTGACCAATTATCTTCTTAATTTCATTATGGCTGAAGCACTTGTTACCATTGCCTTGGAACAATTTGCTTTAATTGGTGGTCAACAGGCAGAGGAAGGATAAGACTGATTGCGGGGGCTAAGCTAGAAGTTGAGAGGCTTCAAAGTAATTTCGTGGCCATTCAAGCTATGCTTGCTGATGCTGAGAACCGATAAGAGCGCTGCGAGAGTTTGGTTAGACAAGCTTAAAGACGTAGATAATGTGCTGGATGAGTGGAACACCAAGATTCTGGAAGCAAAATTGAAGGAAGCTGAAAATGCTTCTAAGCGTTTGAAAAAGGTACGTTCCCTCATTTCTGACAATCTAAGTTCTAGAACATATATTCAGCGTTATAACATTGCTATCGAAGTTTAAAATATCTAGATAGAAAATTTAGATATAATTGCTTCGGAGAAAGCTATGTCCAACTTTAGCTCAAGCACAAACAGTAGAGAAGAACTGGAACAACCAATGACAACATCTTCAGTTGATTTAACGAAGGTTCGTGGAAGAAATGAAGATAAAGATAGAATAGTGAATTTGTTGTTAAGTCCAAGTATTCAACAACAAGACCTCCGTAAGCTCAATTATTGGGATTGGAGGGCAAGACCACTCTCACCCGATTAGTTTCTAAAGATGATAAGGTCAAAAACCATTTTAATGAAAAAAATATGGATATGTGTTATGAACATTTTGATGAGTCTAGTATTGCTAAATCAATTTGAATCTCTTACAAATGATGCATCAAAGTTAGTTCAGCTAGAAACTATAATGCAAAATATATGTCAAAATATTGAGGGAAAGAAGTTTATTCTTGTCCTAGATGACATTTGGACCAAAAATTCCAGAATTTGGGAAGAACTGATGAAGTCTCTCAAGTGTGGTTCTCCAAAAAGTAGAATTTAGGTAACCACATGAAGGAGAATGTTGCAAATGTCATTGAAACCACCAACATGATCTCACCGGGGATTGATACTATCCAAGGAGGAATGTTGGTTATTATTTAGTCAAGTTGCATTTTCTAGAAAAGCCAATAAAGGATTTGAAGAAATTAGTAAACAAATTGTTCAAAAGTGTAAAGGCTTGTGGGTCTTTTGTGCTTGAAAAGATTTGACAAATGGAAAAACATCTTAGAGAGCAGAATATGGGAATTAGAAGTAGAACAAGAGCTTTTTCAACCTCTACTTTTAACCTATTATATTTACCCCCTATTTTGAAGAAAATGGTTCTCACATTGTTCAATTTTTCCAAAGAACCATGAAATATAGAGAGTACAATTGATTAAGTTATGGATGGTTCAAGATTATGTAAGGTCAAAACTAAACAAAGATATAGAGTTAATTGGTAAAGACTAAAGAGTGTTTTGAAAACTTAGCAATGCATTCTTTTTTTCAAGATTTTCAAGTAAATGAATATGATAACAGTGTAATATCTTGCAAAAAATACATGATTTTGCTCAGTTTCTTACCCAAAATGAATGTTTTAGATGGTAAATTTAAATCAGAATCTTTTGATAATGAAGATATAACACAATTGCCCAAGACATCGTGTGAGTTGCTCAATTTAGAAACCTTGGACATCAGAAGGTGTTGCAATCTCCAAAAACTTAAATCAACTTGAGACATTTGTTAAATTCGGATACTTTGTGAAAGTTACATGCCAAAAAGTTTGAAGCGATTAAATTAGGCGAATTTGTTGTCAGTGATGGCAGTTATGGGAATAAAGCTTTATTCTATTGAATGTCTGAAAAACTTCAAACTCATTGGAGAAATTTGCATTGAAGGATTGGGAAACTTAAGAGATGTGGGTCAGGTCGAGGGAATAGAACTAAACAATAAGAAAAACTTGCGTGATTGGATTTAGACTTCAATGGGAGGATGAATGACCGGCATGAAGAACTTTTTGTGGCCTTGCAAACTCCAAATTTGGAGATATTATGGCTACGAAATTACAGAGGTAAAACTACGTCACCTGATTGCATGACGTCGTAAACAATTTGAGAAAGTTATGTACGTGGGTTTCACAAACTGTGAGCGTCTGCGTCCCTTGGGTAAATCAGCCATCAACCCGCTGATAATTTCCTCTCTTCTCCTTTTTAATTAGTTGTTTTTTGACATTATTTGTTGTATTTTCTGGGAATGAACTCTCATAAAGGAATATATAAATGATTTTGCAACAAATATATTGTCAAAAATCGTTTCTATAGAATCACGAGCTGTACCATGCTAAATGTTTTCTTTTTCTCTGTTTTCAAGCTCCATGAAGCAGTCATGCAGGGGTACCCTTTTCTAAGAAGTGCTTAATTGTCGCTATTTTTTGAAGTAATTGTTGTTTTAGGTCGGAACCTGAGACACGGACTAGGTTATTTTTTTTTTGGGGGGGGGGGGGGGGGGGGGGGGGGGGGGGGGGGGGGGGGGGGGGGGGGGGGGGGGGGGGGGAGGACATGGACTAGGTATTGGACTAGGTAATTGGCCATAGGGCATCTTAATTTCGTTCGTATTGTGTTTTAATCATCCTCCTAACTCTAGTTATCATGGTATAATATTACAGGGGGATATGATTTCTTCGGATCTACTGTTCTGTGGCAAATTTATCTTTTGCTAAAATCTTCTTTACTTTCTTTTCAATTTCAAGCTGCAGCAACCGAAAAATCATGCATTAAAGACATCTTGTGAAAGAAACGTTGAATACCATTGCAATGTGAAAACTAAAAAGGCTCCATCAACTTACCATGGTGTTTTTCAAGCAACTGTTGTCTTATGTTGTCGCTTAAGGTCACTACCAAACCACCTCCATCAGATGTCAAATTTCTTTCTTAATCTTCTTATTTAAAGTTATCCCCTGCTAATTATTTTCTTTTCTCTTGCTCTCAAAATCCAGCAGTCATGCAATAGAGACATCTACTGAAACAAATGTTTATATTGGGTACCATTGCAATTTGAGTATCCTCCATCACTTCGCTGTTGATGCTTGAGCATGGACTAGGTAATTGGCCATCTACCTATGCATTAGAGTACTAATAAACTAATATCGACAAAGAGTCCTTTGGTTATAAAGTTGTTTACCCAAAAACAGTAATTATGGGAAAATCTGTTGGTCTTTTTATCAGGAAAATAGCTCAATGGTACTGATCCTGGAATGAAAATCTTGATGCATCATTTGATCTATATATTCTCAACATTTTTCACTCTTTTAACCTGATTTTGTTAATGGCAGCATTGAACATATCGTCATTCAAAATCCAATTGTTTCATGATAAGATGCCAAGCTCACTTGTATTCACAAGTAAACATGCACTGTGGCAATTTTTTCACATATTTAGATTACTATATCATATGCAGACTCAATAGTTTTGTGTACATGTAACACAGCTTCTTTATCCTCTGTGACAGAAACTACCAAAATTTGCAGTCTAGGTCCACACAGTTACAATTTTCAATAATTGTGTTTTCCGACCTGTAAAATATGTCTATGGGGCATCAGAGGAAAATTGAAGATATCCCTTGCATGGGTGTGGCACTAGCCAGTCAGAGTGTGCTCGATGTTCATTGGCATAAAGGAAAAGACCTGCTTCAGGAACTTAACTTTTACTCAGGTTCAAAGTGTCGTAGCATATTTTCATTTATGAAGAACAGAAGTAAGCAGAGATAATCTAATATAATTCATCACGTTTTTCTAGATACACAATCAGTAACATGGAGTTATTGATTGAACTCTGACTCTTCCACCAACTGGCATGATTATAATACACTAGATGCTTAATTACATGAAGCAAACGTCCTGTTTCAAGAACTTGAGTCTTTCTCAGGTTTGCAGTTTCCAAACATATGATACGTAAAGAACCAGAGTCTATGCATATAATCTAGTAACTTGTTCTTATCAGTTGATGTGAAACATGAACTATCTGATTCAATTTCAATGTTCACGGAACTCTGCCTATTCGACAGAAAGTTACATAACTTACCTCCAAGCGGTAGTTGAAGTGCACAAAAATAAACGTCACAGCTAGTTCAGAATAACTAGAATGCGGCACAAGTTGATGTTAGAGATTTGGAATGAATTAAGTACCTGTATTGTCATCCCAGTCATCTAAGTGGAGTTCAGATGACGTGCCTTTCTCATACCATTGTGAAAGAGACTGTACCATTGTAATCTTCTGATCTATAGCAAAAAAATTCAGCCATAATATTGCCCTGAATGTAGCCCAAATCGGTGAACCAGGTAAATCTTTTTTTTTTTTTTCCTCTTATCTCTATTCATATTTGATTGTTTATCAAGTGCTTGATCTTGGGTTGATTTTCTAAACACTTATTTACAATAGAATCTTTCAAACTACAGTCATACATTTTACCGGTTAGCTTAATAACTAGTAAGATAGATGTTGGTGGTGTACAAGAAGATTTGGAATTAGATCTTCATCACATTGAGACTGAAAGGCTTTTGGTTTAAATTTATAAGTGTTCCGTCCTGCCGGCAATTAGGATACTGAGTATTGACTAATTATGTTAAATCTCATTAGGATCTTTTTTTGTAACTTAATAGGTTCATTAGTCTTTTGGTCTCTCAGCTTTCTATTATGGTGTTTTATCTCACTCATCATTCTGAAATCTCATTTAACTGGAGCTTGTGTGACATGGAAATGATTGTTTAATTTATGGAGAACAAATAACTCTTCTTTTGCAGTTTGTTGAACATTTCTTGGTCGAAATATAACTTTATAAAACTTTAGAGATAATCTAAAAACCTAAGTGGTATTTTAATACTTTTTAACGTTGTTACAAAGAAAGACCTATTTTCTCTCTTATTTTACACAAATATAACATTACAACTAATTTATAGTGTTACAGTAGAGAAAAAATCACATGTTTGTGAATTGCCACAGGATTGACAAAGTAAGTTGGTTTGTCATTTCTAAACTTCAAATTCAAGCCAGGGTACCAAAAAAAGAACAATTAAGAGCTTCTTACTTGTTTTCATATAAAGTGCCTGAATTCCATGAAGAAAAATAAAGTTGATACAGCACTTCTCCTGAACACACTGAAAAACTTTCACAAGCTACATCTTTTATCATGTCCATCCTTGGACGCAATGCTCGCATCATCAACAATGAGCATTCCCATATACTCATGAGGATAGCCCCTTCTTAACGTAGCCAAAATTCTTGCAGCTACAGCATGATCATATACTTGTTTTGTCACGATAATTCACCCTTCTTAGGTGAGTGTGATCTTGATTGCAAAGTCACCTTCCTAATTTCCCGTCAAATCCACCATTCACTCCTCCGTGCACTAATATCATCACAATGTAGCGTCAACTTATCCATTAATAGGATCTGGGAGAAACCAGAATCATCTTCTGAATGAACATTATTCTTACATACCTATCCACCATCTAATCCTCTCCTTTCACCAGCTTCGTTCCCAACTCTGCTCTTGGCCTTGGTGAAAGACCTTTAGCTAACATCTCGTCATCATACTTCTTAGCCATATCTAACATACCTTTTTGAATTAGAGCATCAATCAAAGCATTGTAAGCAAATTCATCTGGGCTACACCCAAGCTCTTCCATCTTCTTCCACACCACAAAAATCGGACGCAGAAAACCCCACCTCTCAAACTTTCTCAAAAGCATCACATAAGTATCCATCTTTGGCCGAATCCCACTCTCAATCATTCTATCAAACAATCTAAGAATCTCCCTTGGCTTCTCAAGACACCGAAAAAAGCAATGGTAAGTAAACCCATCCGGCGCACAACCCTTCCTAGGCATTTGGCCAAGAAACTCATATGCTTCCTCCATCCTCCCATTCTCACACAAAAGCTTTATAATAATATTGTAAGTCACAATACTAGGTTGACAACCAACCTCCCTCATCTCACGATACACCCTCATTGCGAAATCAACACCCTCCGATAGCCCAATGGCACGAATAACTGTATTATACGCCACCACATCCATCTCAATCCCCTTCTTCTTCACCTCCTTAAACAATTTCACTGCCTTCCACGGCTTCCCACTCTTGCACACAATATCCATATATATTGAATACGAATGCAGATCTTTAACAACACCTCTCTTATCCATTTCCCCCCAAAACTCCCTACACTTAGCCCACCACCCCATCTTAAACCACCCTCTAAGAATCATATTATAAATCTTTGTATTATTATTATTAAACCCCACAATCTTGTTTTCCCCAAAACACAAATCTTGAGCCTCAATCACATGCTTATACTCACAAAGTGAGTCAACAAGGTTACAATACGAAGTTTCATCTCTCAAATTAAACTCACCCAACCGATTAAACGTATCCACTGCTTCATTAACAAGATGTGCATTTACATAACGCTTAAACATGATACGAAATGTGGCATGATTAGGAAGTGAAATGGGGTTTTGTTTCATGCGGTGAATTAAGTTCCAAGACTGATCGAATTCAAAGAACTTACCCAAGATATCAATCATGCGATTGTAGGTTTCTGTGGTGTGATTAAATTGGTGGTCTGTTTCGACCCAGTTGAAGAACTCGAATGCGCGGTTCCAGTCATTGGCGTACGAGGAGAGAGTGTTGTGGACAGTTTCTTGGTCGAAATTGTAGGGATTGGAGTGGGGTTTTGGGGTTTGAGAGTGGATATAGGAAGTGGGAAGCGGAAAAATTGTAGAGCGAGCGAGAAGAGGAATTGGGTTAACGCAACGAGAAATGGTTGAAGAGGAATTAAACTCTACTCTGTTATGTTCTGTGTGTATCTATAATAGCGGCGGCTTCTATAAAGCGAATGTGAGAAAGTAAAATCTGAGTTTAATAATAACCCACATCCAAACAGACCCCGAACAGGCACCGTTGGGCAGGACGGCTCCAAGGTTCTCCGTTACAGCATCACTCTCGTTACTGTAATCTCCATCAAAAGGCTTCATATTAAGAATCTCAAAAGGAAATATAATATATATTAATATAATTTTTAAAGTTAAATTTTAGCAATCCTTCGTAATATGATTTTGATTCCAGTATAATTTTTTTTTTCTTTTTTATCATAAATGTCAAAGCCACTCATCCTACATCAAAAGCGATTAGAGGAATCCTTTCACATAATGGGTTAGCGCCCACATGTGATATTAGATTTCCTCGAAAGTGAGATGAACAAACAAATAGGGTCACAAGTGTTACAAATCCCATAATTAGAAGCGCATTAGAGAGATGTTAAGTTAATCTTTAAGACATCTCCAACCTATGCACCAATTTGGTGTAATTTGGGTGTAAAACACTATTCATCTCAATCACAATACCAAATATTACACCAAAAAGAATATTCCTTAAAATTTTTTTAAAATATCTTTTTGTTTTTTTATATAATCAACCATTAATCTATTTCACTCATATTTTTGATATATTAATTAAATATTAGAATGATATTTTTATAAATAATAATTATTTTAAAAATTATATCTAATTAAATAAGCATTTATTTAATCAATAAACATTACATTTAATATAGAAAAACATTATAGAAAAACATACATAATAAATGATTAAAAAAAAAAAAAAACAACAACAACACAAAGGTAAAAATCTATATTGATAGTAATTAATTTCCGAATTAGTATGTTCTTCCACAAATGATCCAAGCCTACTGAGTTTTTCAAATGAGCAATTAAGAATTATGCAAAAAAGAGCTCAAAACAAAAGGTCAAGGATCTCAAAATAACTCAAATTCTTTTTAATATTTTGTGATCTTATGGATCCGGAACTAATCTACCGGAATACTAAATTGTATTTTAGTTTATGTTGTATTTCTTTTAATTTTAGTGTTTTTAAATTAGTGTTAATTTATTTGAGTTATTGTAGTTTAATATTGCATTGAATAGAGTTCTATTTTTATTTTTCATCATTTTTAAATATATCATTATTATAAATAATAATCAAATTAAATTAAATACAAATACTCAAATTTGGTGTGATTTTTGGTGTAAAATTATACTCAAATAAAACTTAAAAAAAATTAAAAAAAAAAAAACCAAAATTAAAAAAAAAAACATAAACCAAAATTAAAAAAAAATATATTTTTTATTTGTGCTACAATGTTGCGCCAAAATGGGCAGTGTTTGGCGTGGGTTGGAGTACCAACCCACGCCAATTTGGTGTTTTTGCGCCATTTTGGCGTGGGTTGGAGATGCCCTAAGTATGAAACTCCCAATCTGTACGTAAAGTATTTTATATCAAATTATTGAAGTAACCAATACAATGAAATTAACTATTATTTTAAAAAATTTTTGTTTGAATTTGTCAAAATTAACTAGATGGTAAAAATAAGTAAATTAGGATTATTCTCATATCTCTTTTGTAAAGTCTAATTAAAAATTAAAGAATCAAAGAGTGCTGTATTTACCTCATATTTTATTTTATATTATAGACTCTAATTATTATTATTTTTAATTATAGTTTTTTCATTAAAATTATTAAATAGCATATAGAGAGTTATATTTAATTGATATTGATTTAATAATGTTTGTCTCTTTCATATGTTTGGTGCAAATAGTTTTTGTGTTTTATTTTTACCATTTTGTTACTTTATATTTTTTATATGAGGACATGTTTATTTCAAATTGGCAATACGAGTAACATTAACAGATATATGCACAATAAAAAAGACCAATAAAAATTCTATCAAAGTGTTTTAATTATTCATTTAAAAAAAAAAAAAAAAAAACAATTTTTTTTTGCGTGTAAAATTATTGTCAAAGCCTAATGAACTTTTTTTAAGATGCGAAAACACAAAAATCACTCAATTTCAAAACTTACAACTAGGTTCTGGAAAGATAAATTGCGAGGATTAGGGCTCCGTTTGGTTCAAGATTGGGAATACTATTCTTGGTATTCCCAAAAAAGTTAAACAGTAAAATACCCAAAATCTCTCATTTTTGGGAATACTATTTTCAATATTATTTAATTTTTTTTTAAACCCTCTAAATTTGTTAATTTAATTAAATACCTCTAAATATTTTTTTTTTAAATTACAAAAACACCCCAACAATTCACATTTACCAGATTCCGGCCACCACTATCGGAAAATGGCCGGAATCTGGTAGGATGGCGCACTACCGGCTGAATCTGGCCGGTAGTGCACCGATCTAGCCTTTTCCGACCAGATCCACTGTGGATCTGGCCGGAAAAGGCCAGATCTTTGGCCGTAACACTCGGTCACGTCAACGACGACCGTTTGTTGGCCGTCGTTGAGAGCAAATACGGCCAGATCTGGCCATTGACGGCCAGATTTGGCCGGAAAAGGCCATAGCGACGCATGACCGGCAAGATCCAACCGATCATGCGCCCATAAGGCGACTCCAGCCACCTCCGGTGGTGGTCGCCGGCTGGGGGTGTTTGAGGGTGGGTTAGGGGTATTTTTGTTAACTTTTAATGTTTTATTATAGGGGGTATTTTGTAAAAAAACAAACATAAAGGGTATTTTATTAATTTATAAATTCTACATCGTAATACCCACACAATTCAACTTTTTTTTAACTTTTTTCAAAAAACTTTTCCCAAAACCCCCAAATTTTGAACTAAACGGAGCCTAGATATTTCATATTCCAATCAACTGGATACTAGAAAAATAAAAGGATTCGGGATATGATTTATTCACTGATCCTAAAGACATAATAATCAGAAATAATACAGCAATAGAAAGTTTGTTCTTTTAGCACTTTTTATAACAAGATTCAATTTCAAAACTGTAATTAATTTTAAATCGATTATAACAACCAAGAATATAAAACTCAAATACAAAATATTTTCTTAACAAACAAATCATACATAACAAATTAACATCCTAATCCTATGATCCTAATTATCTCAACATTCAAAACTGTTATGTGTACAAATCCTCTAATGTTGCTATCTAATTAACCATCTCTCATGAATGGCATGCTGATATTGTCCCATGAAAAGTAACACCAAGATCAAACCACCCACCTTCAACGGCAAGAATCCCTCAGAGAAGCAGCAGTTGAAGCTCCAGCAACACCGATCAAAGTGCATTGTCGAGAGTAAAGGTGGTGGAATGTCAGCTGAAAGTAGCCATCGAATCAACATTACCAAGAGTATAGATATTGCTAGAAGTGCAAAATGAGTTATCGGTTTAGTGGATTTTGCTACATTATTGAACTCGGAAAAGAATATCCATTGAGGAAATAGAAGAACTATGGTCACTGTTACAAGAAGAAGAATCGGCAATGGTTGAGGATCAAGTGTTAATAAGTTTAAGAAACTACATATTTTATCTCCTCTGTTGTGATTGGCCATGAACAAGTGATTATTTTTCCAACAGTTTGAGGAGGATTTTGTTTGGTTAATTTGGAGGAATTTTCTAAAACCCTAATAAAAAAGAAGTTAAAGTAGAAAACTAAACAATCTTGTAAAGTTGAAAAACTTTTGCCTTTTGTTTATTAATGATTGAAAATTATCTTATTAAAGAGAAAATCTTAGATGAGACAAACGTATCATATCATTTATATATTTATTTAATAATAATTTACGTATATATATTTTATTTATAATTTAAGATCTCTTGTGTAACCAAGATAAAAATCAATTAATTATATATATAATCAATGAATTATTTAAAATTTTACTTAATTTATTGTTTGTGCACACCTCAAGATAATGCTAAAAAAAAGTTATAAAATCAAACAGATTTTAACAATAATTTATTATTAATGGTTGCATTCGGAATATTATAAACCTCATCAATTATATGCTTTGATTTGTATTGATTACGTGGCGGCTTGCTATTGCTTCTTTAAAAACACGAAGTGTACATTAGCGGTACACGATAGTGAT